GGAAATTTTTGGCACGGTTCACGAAATACTCAACAACTTGCACCTATTGACAGCTGTGCTGTCGGGTCTGATAACAGATTAGCCGCCATGGCCTACACCACGGCGACCTCACCTCCGGTTCTGGATGCCGACACCCAATCCAGCTTAAAACTTTCCACATCTCTCCCTCGATCATCCTCATTACAACATGCTGCCAAATATTTCCCTTCCAACCCTACACCCCCCTCTGCGCCATACTTTACCTCCTCGCCTACCTCATTTTCTTTATCGGCCTATGCTGGTCCTGGCACCCCAAATGCCTTGACTCCAGCCGGCACCCCTCTCCAATCCGCCAGTGAGGGCCTTCGTGGTCGAGTGGCTCCTCTTCCCATTCCTGCACCTCTCGAACTCGGCGAGGCTATGATGGCAGTGCCTGAGGCATCTGGGGTCATTGACCCAATTGCTGCACCTTCCAAGGCCCCCGGCCTCATGCGACGTATCTCCCGAGGCGCCGCGAATAAGCTTACTAGGAGACGACAATCTGCCTCTCAGAATGATAAGCGAGACCGCAGCTCCGGACCTGTCATCATGCGCCGACGCAGTGACAGCAAGACAAGCAACCAACCCAGCCGAGACAATGCGCTCGAGTCCAGCAACGAAGACGAAACCAGTGAAGCTCTGGATGGCCTTGGGGCATGGGCCGGGTCAGAACCATCCAGCCTTCGCAGTGAAAGTCGCATGATGTCAGCTCGTGAAGTTGTTGGTGGATCTGCCGTCGCTGTCGCGCCCAAGGTGGACTCGGCTGTCCAACGGGGAACTGTCTTGACTAAAGTGACGAAGAAGCGCCGCAAGCAGGTTCGATTCTTCCTCGATCTTGACGCAGCAAAGGTCTTCTGGGACCCCTCCAACCCCGCGAAGCGTTTTTACATCGACGACATCAAGCAAATTCGAGTCGGTGCGGATGCGCGCAACTATCGCGAGGAACACCAGGTCCCCGAGGACGCCGAAAGTCGTTGGTTCACTATTGTGATCGCCGACTCTGAGCGATTCAAAGGCCGGGCTGTCAAGACCCTACACCTAATCGCTCCCAATGACCACATTCTTGACCTTTGGGTCACCACCCTCGAACACATCTCTCGGTACAGGATCGGCCTTATGGCAGGCCTGGCCGCCTCCGGTCAAAGTGAGGGTGTTCTGCAAGCCCACTGGCAACGCGAAATGTCCAGGCTATTTCCCCAGGGACCTCGTCCAGGGGAGGAGGAATGTCTTGACTTCGGTGCTATCGAAAGTGTCTGTCGCAGCTTGCATATCAATTGCTCGAAGAACATGCTTCGGGCCCAATTCACCAAAGCCGACGCCGGTCGTAATGGCAAGCTGAATTACTCGGAGTTCAAGGATTTCCTCTTCCGGCTGAAGGAGCGAAAGGACGTCAAGGAAATCTTCAAGAGCCGCGCTGAGCAGCCGAAGGCAGGTCTGACCCAAGAAGAATTTCTGGCCTTCCTTCGTGATGTGCAGAAGGAGAATGTCGAGGCGGATCGAGATCAATGGGTCGCCCTGTTCGAGAAGTTTGTACGGAGATCGAGGTCTCGCGTTCCGTCTGATGCCTCTCTCGACCTCGATGCCTCTTCGCCTCCACCTCGCATGAACCTTGACACTTTCTCCGCATTTCTGGCTTCTCCCAGCAATGGCATTTACGCGTCACGTGCTCCTCAGTCGCGATTCGATCGACCTTTGAATGAATACTTCATCTCTAGCTCTCACAACACCTATCTGCTAGGCCGCCAAGTTGCTGGTGCTTCAAGTACTGAGGCCTATATTAGCGCTCTGCAACAGGGATGTCGTTGTGTGGAGATCGACTGCTGGGATGGTGCAGATGGGCGACCAATCGTTTCCCATGGCCGAACTATGACCACTAGCGTCCTCTTCGCTGACTGCATCACCGTTATCAATCGATACGCTTTCATCTCCTGTGATTTTCCCCTCATTCTTTCTCTTGAAGTGCACTGCAACCCCGAGCAGCAGTTGGCGATGGTCAAGATCATGAAGGAGACTTTCAAGGAGCAACTTATCCTCGAGCCATTAATGAGCAATTGCTTCATCCTTCCATCACCGGAAGAGCTCAAGGGTCGCATCTTGGTCAAAGTCAAGACCTGCGACGAGGTGACAGGTGACCCTCGCCAGGACACAGTGAGCTCGATGAGCTCCGTGGGTACCCATGGTCGCAAGCGCAGTGCCAGTTCGCCATTCGTTCGCCCGACGCCGCCGCCCGATATTTCTCTCTCTGTCCCGCTTCCTCCACTCTCCAGCCCACCAACCATCGGATCGCAAGATAGTATCGGCCCTCTGATTTCCCAGGATCGACGATCACTGACTGCGACGAGTATGAGCAGTGCCACCGAGGATAGCGATGGCGCATTGATCTCTGCCTACAATGAGAAAAAGAAGCGACGCCGACAAAAGAGCAAGATAACCAAACCTCTCTCCGATTTGGGTGTTTACACCCGCGGATACAAGTGGCAAAGCTTTAGCTCCCCCGAGAGCAGAACGTATAACCATATTTACTCATTTGCAGAGCGAGCATTTGAGAGTATCTGCACAAGCCACGATAACAAGGTTGCTCTGGAGTCGCACAACCGCAGGTATCTCACTCGAGTCTATCCCTCCGGATTTCGCCTTCGCTCTTCCAACTTCGACCCGAACAAGTTTTGGCGCCGCGGTGTTCAAATGGCTGCTCTTAACTGGCAGACCTACGACATTGGCATGCAAATGAACCAGGCCATGTTCGCTGCTGGAACCGACCGTACCGGCTATGTCCTCAAGCCCGACTGTCTTCGCCTTCCCTCCCCCGACAATGACAACCAGAAGCGCAAGATGGAGCGACGCCTTGTTCGGTTCTCCGTCGATGTCATCTCAGCCCAGCAACTTCCCCGTCCCCGCTCCATCGGACCCGACGACAACATTAACCCTTACGTCGAAATCGAGATGTTTAGTGCCGACGATCGTGGTCAAAGCCTGGTCTTTGGCGAGGGTGGCATGGATGCTTCTGCTCGTAGTGGCATGTCTGGCATCGGCTATCCCCACCGCCGCCGCACCAAGATCGAACAGAGCAATGGTTATAGCCCTGTCTTCAACGATCGGTTCAAGCTTTCTCTCGAGACCAAGTACCCTGATCTGGTCTTCGTTCGATGGACCGTCTGGAGCTCTATGGACGGACGCAGTGCAGGAAATAACAACAGTATCCAATTGGCTACTTTCACTGCTAAGCTCACCAGTATCTCCCAGGGTTACCGTTACCTACCACTGTACGATGGCGGCGGTGATCAATACCTGTTCTCGACCCTATTCTGTCGCATCTCTAAGGAAGATCCGATCCCCGTCCAACGACTGGATCTCGAAGAACTCCGCGCCGAGCGCATGGGTATCCTGCGCCAGATCGGCCAGACAGTCTTCAAACGTTCCTCGTCCACCGACCGCGAAAAGGACCATAATTTGGAGCGCAGTGACCCTCCCACTCCCGAAGAGAAGGATAGTTCTCCAAGTCTCACACCGACAGTCTCCACAGCGTCCACCTCATCCTTCGCACCTAACGGTGGCCTGTAATTCCATTGCTCTTGGCTCAAACCTCAACTGGGAGGTTGTGAGCCAATTTGCTTCCATTTTTTCTTATTACATCTCTTTGGCCGCTTGTGCCGTGGCATTCTTTTGCATCTGATGACATTCGTTTCATCATTGGGAAGTTCTATTCTGTTATCATTGCCATTGCCATTTGTCGCAGCGATACCCCCCCTGGTTTTTAGTTTGCAATTGTGTGTATATCTGTCATTGCCTGTTTTCACTTTGTTTTTCCTATGTATCTATCAGCTTTTCATTGGACTCGGACATTTGTGTTTCGTTTCGGTCCAGGGTGTTCAACGCTTGTTTCTTTTTTTGTTTCTTATCTGCCTACTTTTGTCTTTTTTTCGGTTTCGGTTTCGGGCATGGGAAATTTGATCTCGGCGGAAACAGCCACTTATCCATCGCATTTGCGGGAGTCTCACATGGGAAAGATCATCGTGGCTGGTTCACCGGAGCGCAACACATCATCATCATCATCATCATCATCATCATCATCGTTCATCACACTTTTGTCTGGCATCTCATGGGCATGAAGGGCATAACTTATTCAGGGAATAACACCATTCGCATTGGTTGGATTTACTCCGGGAAATCGGAATGCTTTTGTTCCTTCCTCATTCTGCCTCTTTTTTGCTTCGTTTTCTGCATAGCCGTGTTGCTTTTTTTTTTTGCTATTTGACAACCATTTTTCTTCCCTCTTCACTTTTGCTTTTTTTTCCCCCCTTTGACGGGGACTCGGAATGGAATGGAGGGCTCCAGTAGGTGCGGGTCATCACCTACTTGTCTGTCATTTGACATCTCCTCATTTCTTCACTCCTTTCAACCTCCTCTTCTTGAGTGGTGTGTTTTAATAGATGACGCGCTGGGTCGCATGGTTACTATACCTCTTTTCGCATTTCGCTGGTCGTACTAGTATCGCTTGTAGTTATAGATCTGAGCATCTCATTTCATTGGGATCATAGTATACTCAATCAAATTTTTTCTTGGGAATTTATCGTCTTTTTCTCTAGTCTGAATATTTAGTCACCTCGCCGGTACTACTTGTATAGAGGAGTTAGGTGCGCGTATTTTTACTAGTACCTAGGTTCGGTGGTATATGCGTTGCAGAACTCATAGGGGAAATCATACTAGAGGAAGCCTGATCGAGCACTGTAGCCCGATCGCAATAAAATTAAACATCGTCTCGTCATAGTGACCTTATCCAAACGGCAGGTCTCAATAGCCATCAGTAAATACAGGACATAACAATCCACGCTCTCGATATCACCAGGATATGTACGGGTATCCAAACCAGTCCCCAAAGGACGAAAGAAGAAGAAGGCAATCCAAGCTAAATAAAAACCACACCAAAAAAGATCCCTAATATCCCCAAAGACTCCAAAAACCCAGCAAGATTTGAGGAATCTTCAAACCTTCTTCGCCGCAGCACTAAGCCCCTTCTGATCATCAGTAATCGACCTCCGCCCACCATAATAATGCTCCTCATCGCCAACTTCCTGCCCATACTCGACATTATACTCATCAACATCAATATCAACCTCATTCCACACCTCACTGGTCGCAGGAACGGGGAAAAACTTCGTCAGAAGCCAGTACACCCCGCCCGAGACAAGGACTCCAGTGAAATAGTTGATGTTGTAAATGTATTGCGCGCCGATGGGGACGTCCCGGCCGACTGCGCCGGCAAACCCGACGATGTTGATGAGGATTCCGGCGAGGTAGGAGGCGTAGGCGCGCCAGGAGAAGCCATATGTGTAGTAGTATGGGTCGGTTTTGCTGGCGCTGTATATGGCTTTGATGTCGAGGTAGCCGCGGCGAACGATGTAGTAGTCGCAGATCATGACGCCGGCGATGGCGGAGAGGAAGAGGGAGTAGGCGGAGAGGTAGGTGGTGAATTGGTTGGAAGAAGCGACGAGTTTCCACTAGGTTTGTTAGTTATTTTCTTCCTTCTGTTGCTTCCTTGTTGCTTTTAGATGGGTTGTGACATACAGGACAGATAGCCAGACCGAGAGCAGCACAGATGTAGCTACCACGGCGGATGTTGATATATCGAGGGAGAAGAGCTGTTAGGTCCGTGCCAGCGGAGACAGAGTTGGCTGAGATGTTGGTTCCTAGTTGGGCAAGGGCGAATCCAGTCGCGATGATGAAGATGCCGAAACGCTGACCGGAACTCGCACCATTCAAGAACATGCCGAGGAGGTCGAGGGGGTTCCAGACTGGGTCGGTGTCAAAGATCACAGAGGAAGATGATGACACGATAATGCCGATGAACGAGGTGATTCCGAAACCAATTGGGATGGTTAATAGCTGTGACCACAGCGCATCTTTCGGAGTTCGAGCAAATCGCGTGAAATCAGGATCGTTCATGATGAGGGCGGCGAAGTTGCCAATGCAAGTCATGATAGCCTTGACAATAGTCCATCCTAAGGCGCTTCCGTGAACAGTGTTTGATTGGTGTATAATAGGGCCAATGCCGTGAGCGCGTGAAATGGCCCACGCAAAGAAAGCAATGGCAGCAATAGGCGAATATATAGCTTTCGCGGTGAAAAGGTGGCGCACCTTGTGGACTGGGAACCACAATGCTGGCAGAGATAAGAGCCAGAATAGGAAAAAGCTGACGAAACCCTTGGTATCGACGCCAGCACTTGCGGAGATGCTATTGTGCAAGTTCCTGTAACTGGGCCAGATGGCCTCGATCATCAGGGTAACACATTCGCCTCCAATGTAGCCCTGTACACCATACCAGATGATGGCCATGACCACACGGTTGATGACGGGCCAAAATGAACCCCAAATTCCGAATGATGCTCGAACTGTGACTGGGAAGGATATATGATAGACAGCACCAATGCGACCGGTCAAGCAAACAAAGCTGGCGGCGATGAAGTATCCGATCCAGACACAGATCCATGATTGCCACCACGATAAGCCATCCACAATCATGGAAGACGAGATCATCCAGGTATTCTATAATCAAATGACGGTTAACTTTTGCTCCAAGTTTGTCTAACTTGGGGGGGGGGCCAAAGAACTCACAATATTAAGTGAGTCGGCAATCCAGAAGGCGATGTAGTTTAACCATGTCCATTGACGACGTTCTGGTTCAACTGTATAAGGCAAATAATTGTTCCCCGGTCAGTTTGACTTGTTTTCAATTCAAAGGTTGATTTTGAGGATATGTTTTGAAGATTTTCTCGATCGATTGATGAAACAGGAAGGAATATTGAATGAAAATGTTCGAGAACGATGACGGGTATATATTCGGAGCAATAATAGAAAAAGGAAAGCGAGAGTGCAACGGCGACGCGAAATCGGCCTGTTCAGCTCCGGCAATGATTCTCACCTGGCCGTAAATCATCGTTCGTAAGCATTAACTGGGCATTGTCGAGCCCCGGTTCATTGGACACGGTCGCCTTGTCGAGGATCCATTTGAGCTTCGACATGATGTGCCGGGGAGAGAGGATAGTTGGGAAAGAAGAAGAAATGCTATGCCACTAATACAAGGAAGAAGAAAGACGGGGTATAAAAATTGAGAACCTAAGAAGGAAGCTGGGGAACAGTATGGAGTAATAGAGCGTGAACTTCTAGAGTGACCCGGCCATGCGGGTAATGATATAATGAGTCGCATGGCAAGAGTAGCCATATCATCATCCAAGCTTGGATTTCCGGATCCTGTGGTCGCATCCCTGCTGGGTACCTCGAACCATCCAATGGACATGGTAAGATGATGCGATAAGGAAGCAATGAGCATCCACTGAGGCGTCGATCATTGCGAGAGTTGGAGTGGCGGGAGCCCTGTTCCAAAGATTGGTCCTATCACGGAAGCTGCCTGGACCGTGAGTTTGACTATTGTAAATTGTAACTGATGGCGATGGTATTCGAGTGTGCAAATGTAAATGCATGGATCGCTGATAAGCGGGTGTGGACGGACGAGTCAGTGGAGTCGTTCTCCGCAAACAGATCATACAAGTCTCTGATTGGCAGACCCCGGAGGGCGTATCTTTCAGCAACGAGGTGAGAGATTAGCGGTTATCATTGGTGAATCTTTAGTAGTGGCAGATTTGAGCTGACTCGATGGCATCGAGTAATAGATTGAATCACGTGTCCTATAGTTCGGGCCGACCCCGTTAGATATCTGACAGATATCTGAAGGTAATTTATTCATTATGGATCACTTTGACTAACCGTTTATTGCACTGGCTGATTATTTCTTCAAGTTTTTTATGCTACTGCTACTCCTCCTCACAACGACTGTCTAAGCAGTGCCTACGCTTATTACTTCCTACGTCGGACACGGTTGAGAGCTTGTCAAATGTGACATTCAATGGAACAAAGGACTGCTAAAGGGAGATAACGCAAGACACCCGTCGACGAGTGAATCAGTGAGATCGAACACTATAGGATGGTCTTCCAAGAACCCCAGGTGCTTAATCTCCCGACTTCTGTACAGCCACTGGGAGAGTATCGTACACAATTGGAAGCCGTGCTACTCTATCGGCGGAGAGCATCTCTGACAGGCGAGTCACCACGACGGAAAGAAGCTGTTTCAAAAATTAGCCCATGGCTCAATATTAATTTGAGAGCGTCGGTATGCGGGGAAGGGAGCTCCATAGGACAAAAGCCTGTATTTCTCGGGTCGGATTCCAATCCCGAGAGCGCGAGGTTTGATCTAGCCAGCATCTTGATATTCCCGATGAAATTTAGCCCTGCAGAGCCGCCCGCAGAGCTACCGACGATCCAAAATCATGAGAGATATGTAGAGGTAAACATACCATCAGACTCCTCCCAAGCACGACCAGCACCGAAACCGAGACCAACCCACGCGGGCCAGGCCCTCCGCTTGAACAGCAGAACCGAGAAGACGACACCGAAGGACAGACCGAGGGATGACTTGATAATCATGGAGGAGATGGCGCGGTCCCACTATCGAATTGTACGGTTAGCCCATGTCTCCGATTCCTCCCGCAATCATCAAAATGTAAATTGATTCCCATCAACGAAGAAAGAAGCTCTCCAATTCGGCCGCCGTATTCAAGCCAGAGCTTAGGAGAAAGCTCTGCAAGAGATCGCTCATACCTTCTCGTTAAGCAGAGCCTCGCTAACGGGCTTGGTGGCCCGCGCGACCCGGGTCTCACTGGAATCGGCCATTGTGAAGGATCTAGGATGAGATATATTAGACTGAGCTCTTAGATGTATGTCACAGGCCACATTAAGCTCACCGGTAAAGAAATGACGGGTGTAAATGAGGGTGAATACGACGGAAGTGAAGAGTGCAGGGAGAACCCGCAGTTTGAGTGAATCGCCGGGCGGCGAAGGCGGTCGGGCAATTTGACCGCGGGTTTTTTTTTTGGTCTTCACTTTTTTTACCTTCTCCGCATAAACTAAACCCCTCTTTTCGACACGCAAAGACTGGTTTCGAGAATGCCTTTTCTTGCGGAGGTAAGTGTGATACCACTGCTCATTTGAAATTGTGATGTGAATCTCTCTGACAGCTGATCAAATAGCCCCGGAGCTCGTCGCAAGAGGCGCTCCTCCGCCTTGAGAAAGGTAGCGACTCACCAACTACTCAACTGCACGAAGCAGCGCAAATCCTCGGCATCGACCTAGCTCTGTGTGAGAGCCACCCCGAGACGTACCCAAATGCAAATGCATACAGCACGGCTGCCCCAAAGGAAGAGTGGGTGCTACGATGGTTGTTGAAGAAATTGAGAAATGGGAAAAACTTCCGAGTCGAACCTGAATCCTTCCTCCTGCTGCGCCAGCTCATCGATCGGATCACACCCAAGAATTTGGCGACCATTCTAAAGGACCAGAAGTTCTTGTCCGTTCTCTGTGATGTTGTGTCTGACCTGGAGACCGATGTATCCCTGACCGTTGGCGATGGAGTGTCGATTCCTTCCGCAGCTTCCGACTCAAGTCATACTTTGACCAGCTCCCCACCCGCAGAGAGTCGAGGTTCACATGGCATCAAGCGAAAGAGAATGGGTGACGATGGCACAGATCCCATGGATATCGATGAACAGCCACAAAACCCCGCCTCTTGCTTCCTCGCCTTCATTCGCGCCCTGGATTGTCTGTACGGAATCGTCACGTTAACGCAGCAGACATTGAGTACCGATGAAACCGCTCATTCTCACCTAAAGCTGGCTCTCAGAGGCGTGCCGGAGACGGTTGCTGGTTTGCTGGGGAAGGCGCTCCAGGTGTCGGCTGTGGCCATCGCCCAATTTGCGCATGCCGGGCAGACCACCGATCTGCAGCACTTGGTTTTTGTGTTTCCTTCAATGCTTGAATTGTGGGATTTGAGGTCTTACCGCCAGGAGGATACTGATCACAAGGCAAGCAATGACTGTTTTGCGGAATCTTGCTTTGCCTATGCCCTCAGACTCCAGCTCTGCTTGCGGGCCATCAAACTGGATACTGATGAAAGAGCTCATCTTCTCCATGCAATCGAGCGAATTATTGCGGTGCATGTACTTCTTCCAGCACGGGCAGCTTTCTTCGATCGTGGTGGCTCCGGTATCGACTATTCGAAAGAGGATCCCGATTGGAGCTCGGTTAAACCGGTAACGGATACATTCCGGTCAATCATTCGGGAGCCCTCTGTGGCTCATCAGCCTGCGGGTACCTTGAATGCCCAATCTGTCTATCCTGCCTGGAAATCAATTGAGCTTCTTCCCGAACTCTTTGATAACGCTGTTCGTGCAGTTCCGAGAGATGACTTCCGTCGGCAAACTGCGGAGGCTCCGTGGTTGGAGACTCTGTTTGTTGCAGTTGCGGAGTTAGCATATTCTACGGCGAAAGAAGATGAGCCGGAAACATACTCTTCTCGCTTCGTCTCGGTGCTGGAGGAGCTTCTCCATGTGGCCCTGTCCCGAAATGTTGGTCTGTCACTCCATACCATCCTGACACATGCTGGCTACACCGGTCTTCTTCAAGAGGGGTTGGGGCATGTCCAGTGGAACGTGACTGCACTTATCGTTAGCCTGGGCGTCGACGTGTTCCTTCCTAACTCTGGCTTGCGTGACTCTCGCAAGCTGCTGGATGCACTGCTCGAAAAGATTATGCTCCAGTGGCACGAACGTGACACTAAGCAGAGCGAATACGACATTGTGAAGAACAAAGTTGTTATCCCTCTGCTTCGCGGTTTCGCAACTGCCAGAGACCTCTCGGCTTTCGCAGAAGTTTGGCAAGGGCAGTTAGTAATTCTTGAGGAGGCTCGTCTTCAAGACAGCAACCTGCCATTATTCTCGGTGTGGGAAGACGATGATCTGTGCAACATCTACGGTGACTTGGTGAAAACCTCGCTCACAACCTCGAATTTCGCTGCCCAAATGCAAACCGCCGCCTCCGAGATCAAGGCGCCTGATGGCAAGGTCTCTGGGGCTTCTGAATCGTATGCGAAGTTTGTCATTGCGGAGGCTAGCTTCCGAGGAAAGGCTCTGGCTTTAACCGATTCCGAGGAGACGCTTCCTGCCTTCCTAGAAACGTTGACTGCTACTCTATCTTCAAAGCAGACTCTTCACTGGCGTTGGCGTTTGTGGCGATTTTTGCGAAATGTTTTCCGCAATACTGTACAATCGGGTGACAGTGCTCTCAAAGAAGCATTCCAGCCCTTGGGAAACATCGCCTCAAAGACAATTCAACGCAACCACCGGCATCTCAAGAAAACGCCACTCGCAGCATTAGAGTCCTGGGAGGCATATCGCTTCATCTTGATGATTGTCAAGGGAAGGCCCAGCAAGGATCAACTGGAGACATTTACCACAGTATCTGAAAAAATCACCGATTTCATCGTATCAATCTCAGCCGGTGATGCTAAGAAATCGATGAAGAAACCATGGAATGGCCGAGTGGAGACTCTCAATTCCCCGGCGAACCTGGCCTTGGCTTACTTCCTGGCGAATCTCAGGGCCCCGGATATCTGGAAGCAGGTTGAGTCCGACACGCGTTCTCGTATGTTCGAGCACCTCCTCTCCCTAGCTGCAGCTCAGTACCAGTCATCATCATTGTCCTTGGAGGCAGTCTCGGATGACGCGAGATTCCTTCAAGCATGGGCTAGTATGGTTTGCCATGAGTATCTGCTCAGCGTTCAGGTCATCGTACCTGATTTGGCTCTCCTTCTCAACAAGAACATTGAGAATGAGTCCCCCCCACCGCCGCCTCTACGTGGAAAGCTTGCAACGCATTCCCGCCTCGTCGATCACTCGCGGTCTGCGAACCGTTCTTTTGGACAAGTTACACAATGTTGTTCTTCAGCAAGATAGTGCACCAGAAGTAACGGTTGGTCTGCTGACCATGATGGCCAAGCTGGCAGCGATGCCAAAATGCGACGCCGCCGTCACGGGTGACTGGGAGCCAATCTGGACTGCAGCTCGTGCTATCTCTTTGGGCGGAACCGATTTGGATCTCCAAATCATGAAGTCTTTCCGTTCCCTCCATTGCGCGATCATTGCGAAACTTCTGGTACTCTCTGAGGATGATCGGATCGAATCGTTCAAGAAGCTCTTCGCAAAAGTATCCAAGCAGGCTTCCAAATTGCGTCAAATTGATCGCAACTCCATGGCTTGTTTCCTCCTCCGCCTATCTCTTTCAGAACTATGGGTTCACCGCGCAAAACTACAAAAAGCTTTTCCTGCCGAAGAGCTGGACTCTTGCCGCCAAAGTGTTTTTAGCTTGGTATTGGCTGAAATGAAATCCGTCAAAGACCAATGCAGAAAACAGAAACTGGAAGAGACCATCACTCTTATCAAGACGATCGATGCTTTGGAGGACTTCGAGGATATGGCTCTAAACAATATTGAGGTGGAGAAATTCTTGAACAAGATCGAGCATTATATGGAGATGTCGATCGATTCAGGCCCTTCTCGATTGATTCGCCGTCGTCTCTTGGCAGTCAGAGGGCCAGAGAAGAGCATCACTGATCCAGTGCTCCAATGTGCCGAGACTCTTACCCTACAGTCGCTCTACGCTGAGGACCAGCAGCTCTTTATCCGTGCCACCACTGAACGATTCCGCTCTATGTCTGCCGAGCGCATCGGCGAGGCCATCCGCGACATTCGGAGATTGGGACTAGTTGAAGAGGATTCTGCGTGCCGACTCCTGGTGGTTTATCTGGCTCTTATCGCTCTTCCGCCTGTCGAAGACAAAGAGACTGCAGTGGCTCGCGAGCTTTCCCTCCTTTGTACAGCTTTGGGTGAAACCGTCATGCACAGCACTTCCATCGACCAGTTCTGCTTCGCCACGGAGTGTATCACTCTCCTCCTCCGCGTTCACGCTCGCGCTCTCACTCAATCCAACATCGACTCCCTCCTTACCACCATCGCGGCATCGGCCTCGAAGGCCGGCCCTCGCATCTCATCCAAGTATGCACCTACCATCTTCACCCGCCTCTGTCGTCTCTTGGGCACGGTCCTTGGTCTGCAGCGTATCAAAATTGGTGGCCGCTATCATATGGTCAACACTGCGATGGTCCGCCTTCTAGGGTGCCTATTTGCACGATCCCGCAAGCGCTCTCGTTCTGCACGCTCCCAGCCTAGCTTTTCGCAGCCATTGTGGCTCGCTCCACTCGAGGTTTCTCACGCGACACACTACACACGTCTCCTCACTACACTCTGTGACCCGACGCTGTCCGCTGTGCTTCGTCCCCAGCCTGGCGCCTCGCGTGAGGCTCTGATTGACGAAACTAAAAAGGCAAAGAGCATTGCCGGTCAGTACCTCAAGTACGTTGTCGCGGAGTACACGCAGTGCTCTCTGCGGGGTGCACTCTTACCTGACGTCAAGGCTGCACTTATGCCAGGTCTGTACGCTGTGCTGGACGTGATGTCGAAGGAGACTTTGCGGTCACTGAATGCCGGTTTGGATGCCTCCAGCCGGGCCGTGTTCAAGTCTCTTTACGATGACTACGTCAAATTCGGAAAGTGGAACCAGGCGTGATCTACCCAAGTATCATCGGCCTTTGTGTCTTTTTCTTTCTCTTTCTTTTTCTTTTTCCTTCAGTTGCATACTTCGGTGCCCAGGTTATGTACAATTACTCCTTCTATTCTAGACATGATGATATCCCTCAATGCATTGACGAATCTTGCATTAATTGTGTAATATTAAGTATCTGCGTGGATCTCACGCGAAAAATCCCAGTAGTTTTTCCCGGTGTTGTACAAGATTTTGGTGCTCGCGGAGGAGCTGTGCTAGACGGTTTTGCTTCCAACCCAGACTATCGTCCAAGATGAGATGAGTGTAGGCGAAAACACTCGCGTCGAAGAGTCCAGGGTTCGGCCTTCCAAAGAAATGGTCATCGTCTCCTAATAAGGAAGATAGCGCCTCGAATGCGTTTCCGGCGTCGCCCTCGAGTTCCGCCACGTCGATGTACTTTGAGGTCTTGAGAAGCTCGTCGCGAGCTGCTTGTTGTAGTTGCAGTCCAAGTGCAGTTCGTACGAGAGTGTTTGAGGTGGCCGGGTCCACGTACAGTCGGCGCGCCACGGCCTCGAAGTTCTGGCTGTCAAGATACAGCATATATAACTAGCCCCGCGTTAGTTCTCAGTTCCTTGACCACACCACCTCCATAGTCTTTATCCCGAGGACCATCACTCACCCATGCAGTGCGCACCCTGGTGTCTAACAGGGATGCGTACACTTCGAAGCGCAGGTTTAGCTGCTGTTCCTCCTCGCAATGGACTTGTTCAATTGCCCATTTTTGCAATTTATGGGAGGGAATGGCGTTCGCTGTTTCGATTGGCTGCGATGGGATCAAGAAGGGGAGAGCGCCAGTCGGCGACGCGTGGTTGTTGGAAGGGGTGGTTTCGAAGTTGATTCCGACGAATTTGAGATACGCCTAGATAATAGAAACATCAGCTTCGGAATGTTCCAGCGATGCGCCGTGGGTCCCCCTATCTTTCACTTACCTGCCATTTCAGGCACTGCGGGTTAAATGAAGGCCGGCCATTGCGCGCACCAGCTGCGTCGGTGAATACAAACAGCTGGTTTCCTTGTCGGCGAGACGGAGATCGTTGTGGCAGATCGTTGGACGGATACGTGGCCAAGGGGAACTTGTCGAACAACTTCTTGATAGGGGGAGGAACGGTAAAGAATGAGGAAGCTGTGCCGGGCTGTTGAGCGCCCTCGGTCGTCTTGGGGGGGCATGGCGTAGTTCAAGAATATGCAAGGATTTGCAGTGAAGATCGGAGTAATCAGGAACGGCCGAGGCGACGTCAACTGACGGGCGGTGCCAAGGCCGGATGACTAAGGATCTCCCCGCATTGGAGAGTCTTTCTCATTTCTCTCATTCGCATCTTTGGTTCTTTGGTTCTGCGACTCGGTTCCTGGCGTTAGCATCTCTCGTCGATCTGTCGTCACCGATGACTTCGACCCAACTTTCGTGTTCCATCCGTCGGCCATCCTCTCATTAAATTCCTAACCCCGGCGTTCCGTTTAGCCCCGCCCGATATCCAATCGAAGCCACCCCGTCGCATTGTCGCAAGTGGAAAAGCAGCCCTGGATGCACAACGCGCTCCAATCACCAGTCCTCTGATCCTACTACGTATATAACGGAGGTTCACCCTAGGGGTATTCGAGCACGCCTTATCTGGATCTCCACCGCGGCACCCGGTATCAAGCGCGCATAGCCCAATCTCGTCATCGACGATCACTTCCTCAGTCTAAGCCCCTCGTTCAAGCCTATTCTTCTCGGCACCCGCCAAAATGCCTTTGGATGAAGAGGGTGCAAAATGGTCCTGGTAAGGTGGTATTCAAAACCCAACATTTGGGCTCTTTGCTGACGATGCTTTGTTCAAAGCGAACCATGCATTCGCGGTCACCGATCTTCAAAATGTCAACACTTCGACAGACTGATGATGAAAGTCCCCAAAGCTGGTCGCCCTCTCGCAAAATGTCCACATCCAAAAGGATCATGCAGCTGTCAGCGAACTCTTTCGATGATGATCCGCATTCCCAAAGGTAAATATATCTGCTTTCATTGATCATACGATTACTAGGAGGCAGCCCTAACAAATTCTATTACTAGGTACTGGTTGCGTTTGCCGCCCCATCGATACACCTGATGAGAATTCTCCTCAAAATTCAGAGCCTACTAGTGGTACTCGTGCTTCGCTTTCCTCTCTGACTACATCGCCGGCTCCTTGCAAAGTTCAAAAACCGGGCAGACGACAAAGCAGCATCCAAGCCGTCCCCGAAAACATTGCCCGAGCCCTCGAAGCCATGCCTATCAATATCAAGTATGAGGAGGGGGCTAACGAAACCCCCGCTCGCCTTTCGTCTTTTTCATTGGATCACAAGGTCTACTCTCATAATGCCTATCAAGCCATGAATGCCCTGCCAGAGGCATCTTACGCTCCGCCGCAGGCAAACGGATCGAGTTGTTGCTCTAAAAAGCCGCCCCCTCCTCCAGTTGCTCCTAGTGGAGGGGGATCTTGCTGTAGTGGAAAAGCTGGCAGCGGAAAAGCTGGCCCGCAACCCACAGCCCCCCTTGTCTCCAATGTGCCTGAGCTGCATCAACAACACCAACAACAACATTACCAACAAGGTTACCAACAGCATCAGCAGGAACAAAATAGCTGGAATGGCACGTCCTACTCAAATTTCACGCCAGCTCAGATGGCATGGCGTAACCCTATGCCCACTGCTCAGCCTGTCCAGGGCCAGTTCATACATCCCTATGGATTACAAGACAACCATGTACCCCAGGTATACATGAATGCTTACTCACAAAGTGGTCCGTCTGACGCGTACTCTCATACGGTGAATGGTCTTGGAATTACGCCGAGCTCTATGTCATCTTACAATTCCACGCCATCGCAGAATTCAGTTTACACCCCTACCAATATGAGCGTTGATCCGTCCCATGATTGTCAATGCGGAGAGGAGTGCCAATGTTTGGGTTGTGCATCTCATCCTTTCAACAATACCACTCGCCAACGTGTTCAAGAAATGGGTGAAATGATGACCATTGGTGGTGGCAAGTCAGCAATCGAGACGTATCAGTCTCCCACCTTCTCGGGCAGTCACAATTGGGAGCGCTTCAATTACCTACCCCAGGGGTTGGATCACAGTCAGAGCATACAACAGCAAAACTACGAGCCATACTCGGATCAGTCTCATGTGCCCCAAGGCTCAAATTTCCCTCGCCCGTATACTTCACCAGTTGCAGTCGGCCAGGTTATGAATGAGCAGCTGATGCACACCTCTGAATACTACACTCTGGAGTATCCGGTAGGAATCCCTTCGGCTTGCTCAGACGTGACAGGCAGTTGCCAGTGTGGCAATGACTGCAGCTGTGTAGGCTGTCTGACTCATAGCGGCCACAACGGGCTACCGCTTGAGGCTCCTTTACAAGAGCCCGCACTCCCTGTTCACAGCAATGATCATCTTGTTTCATCTGGTGAACAAGTGCCCGCGACGACTTCTAGTATGCAAACCTCTCGCATCCCGGTACTTGAAAACTTATCAGTTCCGTGCTTGAGTCCGCGCACGCTGGAGACATCGATGATTTAACCACGTCTCAAATCCCGAGCATGCCCTCGATAGGGCAAATTACAGCTTCACAATGATACACACGACAATATATCTAGACCATGCAAAACTTCGACGATCACGCTATTTGACATCCACTATTTCAAGCCAATCTTATTCGATACCATACAACCCTTCTCAATTCAGCTGCCAAGCCAACCCCGAAACAAACGCTCAGTTGTCAAGCTTTCAATTTAATCTTCAGCTAGCCATACTTCTCCACATGGCCCGCACAACGAACATGGAGCGCACCTGGCTAGCAAAACTCTTTCAGCGCTTTCAATTTCATTTCAATAACGACCTCAATCTCCTCTCACTCTGATCGTCTCTGAAGATCAATCACTCTCAACGCAGTCGTGAACCGCCCTGATCTTAATTGAGCCAGAATCACGATCTGTTCCAAGCGGCTATCAGTCATTCGCAAACTATGGAGTACACTCGAAAATAACCTTATATTCGAGAGTGTTCTCATGAATTTGTCACATAACTTGAAGCTTTCCTCTATTTCCAAACCCGCGTACAAGATTCCCATCAAAGCATTCTATCAATTTTTCACATGATACCACGCCAGATCATTTATCAACAACAGAACCCATCGTGTTCAGCCATTCCACAATGTCAAACGAGCGGTTTGCTCGGACGAACTCCTGGTGGCTCTTGGACTGCCTGAATCTGCATGCCACACTTACTTGAAAACACATGCACTGGGTTCGTGAATCTTCTAGGTTTCGGTACAATCGACATTGATATCTCCAGTCGGCCTACGAACAAGAATGGGGGTCACGTGGAGTTTCAATATTACCTCTTGACAGACTGGCGGAATGTTCTGCTCCGCCTTGCAGAAGCTACTCATGTGATACACGTAGGATCACCCTTTGCAGTGTCATTGCACCAAATCTCCATAAACCCACCTCCTACGTAAAAGTCAATCCTTGGGAGTGTCTGACGAATGCGTCATGTTCCGCTCTTTTTTCAATTTTCCAATCCCGACAAAGTAATAGGTTGATGTCTGACAACTTGTTCAGCCCTGACCAACAGATGGTTCTGCCTGAATCTGGTTTTGTATACGCTCAGAAGCAGCCTCGTATCCAACCCGGACAAGTATCTTACTTCATGATGAATATGAGCAATTTCCCCAACCTCAAATCGATTGAGACAGACAGATTTTGCCCCCATCAAGGCGTTGCCCTGGCCTTGATGGGGGTAAAGGCATCGAAATGACACCAGCTCGAGTCTTTCTAGAGCATTTCCAGCAGTGCATGAATATTGGGGTCTCACTGCCAGATTCTCTTTGCCTACGTCATCCAAACTCGAGATTCATCTCACCAGGATCAAATCGGTCAACAGCGTCCTTATTGACATCATTTGCACCAAGCTCTATGATGAGGCAGTGGCCATGCTTCACGGTATCGCCGACGGATTTGAATATTGTCGATTTAGCACATATTTATCACGTCTCCATATCGCCCTCCTAGTACACTCGGTGAGATTGGCAAGGTCATTTCTCCTGTCTGGAAAATGAAGACTCTCATTTCGCTCTATGGTCAACCGTAGACGAATCCGAGGTCTTCTGTCCGTTCTTTTTCGACTCTTGTCGCACGATGTGCTTCATACCTCACGCCGTTCGATTTGGAAAGATCGAGCGTTGCAAGGCCATCGTCAGCTTGGACACAGGGCTCTACAAAGGGTATGTATGGTTGCCCCATTGTTATACGTTAATCACACTAACACAGCGACCGATAGATTCAGATTTGTTCAGTACTACAGTTTTGAATCCTGCGAGAACTGCACATTTCAATAACGTTTTACTCCGCTTCATGACCCCTTCAGGATCATTTCCTCTCTTCTTTAATCGCCTCAAACTCTTTTATTATTCAAGATGGCAGGCCATCTCGTGTTCCTCTCCGGAACTTTCGGCGAGCCTCCATCAATCGATTTGATGTCCTCTCTCGCTATCCTACGCACGATTTACGACGAACGATGATACCCCCATTAGACATTTCCACTCTAGCAATGTTTCTGTCAGTTCTTGCTTTAATATTTATTTCGATACAAACCAGTTGAATATATCACGAGTCCGCCAAGAAACCAGCGTGCCAAATAATCACGTGTAGACTTGTAATGGAATGACCCTCAACTTACTGGCTGCAAGGTTATTTCGGGCACCATTGCTAACGGGGCTTTGCCCCTCATGTCACCTCCGTCGGTCATGGACCATTTTGTCACGTTTCCCAAGCTACAAGCTGGTCGTTTTCTCCAATAATTCGCTCCACTGCCGCGCTATACTATGCATATGCATATATACTTACTTTCCATCCATTTCATGCATCAATTAGCCATCCTTCGCCCCGATAAGAAGGCGACAGTCCAATATGACCTCAAGCCCGCATCTCGATGCTATTATGAGGCTGGAGAAAATTCCCATCGCTATCGTAGACCTAGCACTTACTGTTAGCTAGTAGTCGCCACTGATACTCACTTGCCAGAACCCCCCCTCTACACGGGACCCCCCTTTCCTAATAATCATTTCCTGAATAGTCTTCGCCACACTAGTAGCAGGGACGATTCCTTACATGTAGTCAATATAGAGCCTTCTCTGGGCAGCCCCAGTGATCGCAAAGGGACCCTTGAGGGGTGAAAGTGGAGACCTCGATATATATGTAGTAGCTTCTGCGCTTAAATCAATAGTGTCCCCACATAGGACTAGTCAACCTTGGAAGCCAAGCTATAGTGTACCCTCAAACTCGTACAGACCTTGTTCCGAAACAACGGTTGACTCACGTTTCAACCGTTACGGCGCCTGGAGGCAATCACGGACCAGCAAAATGTACCTAGTAAGTTCTGTAACATACCCCACACAGAGGGTATGGAGGCGGGGCCAATAATGGATCGGTTGCGTGAACTACGACAGGGATCGAGAGCTTGAACCACATGTTCTCAAGTACGATAGCTAGTACGGTCCACTTACCAATCGGCCTTGATCTTGGGGTTGATAGCTTGGATCTACGTCTACGGGTGGATGCAGGAGTGCGGCGTTCTAGGCTTCATAGACCAAGGTTTTCGCCAGAATAACCGATCCTAACAATTTCAAGATACTAGACAGGATAAATTTTACCTATTTCTTTGATGCTGGCTATCCACCAAGGATCGCTACTATGGAGCGCTGTAGGGAGGGGTGGATGGACGCACGGTTTTTCACACAGATTTCATTGTATTTGACTGAATAGTCACAGAGAAGAATCGTCACACGATCATGTCGCCATTAGAGACAGGTAAGGAAAACGGGGACCGAGGCCGACAGACAATATTTCCATCCAATATTGGGGGGAAAGAGTAAATGAAGAGACAAGAGGAGGAAATAAATCACGTAGGAGACGAAGAGGAGTGAGGAAGCAGAGAAAATGTGAAGATGGAGAAGAGAGTCAGGAAGGGAACAAAACTTGGCGCGAAAGATGAGCATCAATCTTGACCACATAATCTGGAACGCCGTGCCAGACGGAACATATCAGCTCGTGAGGAATCGAAGGTGAAAAAGTGTCAAAAAAAAAGGTGTGACGTAGAAGAAAAAATCGGCAAGGCTAAGAAGAGAAAAATAAAAGACGCCGCTCAGCGCAGTAAAGAAGAGAAGAGAAAAGAAGAGAAACACCAGCTCAGACCACATCAATGCGGCCATCCCACACATTCTATCATGACAGCGAAACTGGGTCATCGCCACGAGGAAAAATAAAAGTCGTTCAGTATACCGTAGCCCCAAATGGAGCTGTTTCCTTTAGATCCTCCACTAAATCCTCAACGTTATTTAAATATCTCCCGAGCAGAGCCTGCTTCTCGTCTGTTGTCCTCGTATCGCGCGCGATCTTTGCTGCCGCCACCGGGGAATGCGAATGTTGGGACATTGGGCGCGATGAGAGCTTGCTCGGACTGCGCTGCAGGCCCGGCGGGCTAGATATAGGAGCAGAGCCGGGTCCAAGGATCGGAGTTTCCGGCATGAGGTAAAAGTATAGGAACTCAACGAGTTTGAGCTTGACTTCACGGGATGTTGCGCGCTGTTTGAAAAGCGATGTGACAGTCAGAAGGCCATCAAGATCTTCAAATGTGCGGGTATTGGCAGGGCAGTCGAGGAGCGCTGTGACGAGGGTGAGGAGAGTTGATGATTGAATGGCTGGGCAATTGATTGGATCGAGGAGATCTAGGAGGAGATTCATGTAGATTTCGCGGGCGAAGAGAGTCCGTGATGGTGGGTGGAGGAGGAGGGCGCCCTGGATGAGGTCGAGGGTGCAGACGATGAGCATGTCGTTTGTGCCATTGCTTCCGCGGCCGAGAAGGTGTTCGAGACAGGATACTAGGCGCATAGCCACTGCACGAGAAGACGTTAGTTTTGTTTTCTTTGTTTTCTTTTTTTGTGATTTGTTGATTTTTGTTTTTGTTTTTGTGCATAATCCGCCGTGGTGATATATCACGTTTTGCGTGGTTCGGTGTGTTTTTTCTTTGCAGGAAAGGCGATAGCTCATACGCACCATTCCATTGAAAGCTCTCCTGGAGCTTGAAAAATTCTCTAAATGCCGGGTCATCGTGCAAGTCAATCAAGGCTTTTGGCACGGGCTGGGATTCCACAGCCAAATGGGATCTCCGACGGTCGGGTGGGGATTTGGAAACGGGTTTTGAGAGGCAAATCTGAGCCAACAGGCCCTCTACCTGTCGCAGGCCTTTTCGGACCTTGCTGGGCTCATGAGAGGAAAGATAGTCGAAGGAATGCGCCAACAGAGTCTCCATGAGGGAAGTGAAGATGATGATTGAGGGAGAGAGAGAGAGGGAGGTGTTGTGTTGAAAGCACAACGTTTAAAGAGAAAGAGAAAAACACCCCGGCAAAAAACTCTTGATTTCGACAGGGTCCCAAGGTCAGCTGAAAAAGCGCATGGCCTTATATCCCGAGAAATGGGTTCAAGTTTAGCTGAAAGTGAAAGGCTGGGGTGGTCCGTGTG